CTTGCCACTGCAGGAGGTGCGCTAGCTCCTCATGAAAGACTAAAGGAGTTTGAAGTGGAGATAGAGAGACTGCATGCTAAGGTGGATCATTTGAAAGCACAGAATGATGTGTTGGCCATTACTCTTAGTGAATCGAAAGCACACTGTGATCATTTGAGTATTCTCATAGGGAAATATGAATCAAATTCGACTGCCTTACAACTAGCAGTGACCAACTTAGACCAGACTATAGAAGCCTATGAAGTGTTAGTGGCACTCCTGGAAAGTGAGATTGCATTATTATTTGCCAGTTGCAAAGCTGCGGGTGTTGGGGTGAAGGGAAATACAGGGGGGAGTGTTGCAGACCAGGAAGACCTTGTGGCACTTGTAAGAAGAGCCCAGGAGCAACGAAGGTCGACAGAAAATGTTGCCCGGCATTTACTTTCCCGTCTGGAGAGGGCCAGCGGAATGCAGAATGATTCAGAAAACTGGAATGAGGCCAGTATTAGCCATAATACAAGGTAAGAGTCTGTTTCCAGTATGGATTTTTTTATTGTCTCCATATGACACCATTGGTTCTTATGGTGGATTTATACACTGATATTAGTTAAGGATGTATAAATTGTGTGTAGCTATTTAGATTTTTTTTTTTCTTTTTCTAAATTGTGAAAAGAGTGATAATTATTTTTGTTCAGAAGACAGCAAATTAGACAAAGAAAAAAAAGACTAGTACCGAATAGTACATCTTTTTCAGTGTCATTTATCTGCCTATAACAATAGTGAAATACTATTTTGTTATTTTTTTAAACTGAATCATACTGGTCTATATAGATATTGTGATATGTATATGGTAGGGGGGATGCAGGTGTATGTGTATGGATTACTATTGAAGTATGAAAAAAAATGTAAAATGAAATATTTCATGAGTATTTTTTTTACAAGTGTTTCTTGTGAGGTTATATACATATACATATGTAAGCCTTTAGATCTGTAAAAACTTTGTATGTAGTTTTAGTATTAACACAAAATGGATATCCCTTTTGGAATGAGGCAGGAGCTGTAAAGAATATCAAAACCTTATGTATTTATTCTTGTTTAATTTTCTTTCTGTCAGCACTGCCTCATCCACATCAAGTGGAGTAGACTCTGATGTGAGCCGAGGAGAGGAACAGCGCCTTCGAGAAACTATCGGAAAAATGCGGGAAGAGAGAAGTCAGGTTGCAGCCTCCATCCTCCCACTCGAGTCAATCCATGTAGATCCACTCACCCGGCATTATCCACTCAGCCTTCATGATGCTCACAAGCTGGACCTTGAGAATGCAGTGTTGATGCAGGAACTCACAGCAATGAGGGAGGATCGGGCTGAACTAAGAGCTCAGGTGAGAGAGGTGGACGTGGAAAGGTTTCCTTTTAGCTTATTTATGGAGAAGTCAGGGAAGATGCTATATGATTTAACAGTTTTTGCCAACTCCTCCGTACTGCAAGAGGAAAAATCTTTACTGAACTGATGCAGCTCGTGCCTCAAGCACAAAAAGATTGTAAGGTGTTTTGAAGAGTCTGTTGGGTGCCTAAAAACATATGTACACTAGTGGGTGCACATATGTCCTTGTTATATGATCTACTATTGATCATACACTCAGTGGGTAGTTTCAGAGGGTTCTGATGAAAATTCAAAGTAGAGCTACACTCAAGGCTTTATATTTAGAAAAAAATAAGAAGGAATATGTAAAAATGACTTTGCAGTGGTGGCAAAAAGTATACAAGTGCAAATAGCAAGGGTAGGTATTAGTGGGCTGTATGTTGTGTTTTCAGAATGTTAGGAACACATAGAATGAATGAAAAAAGAAAGTTTGTAAAAAGAAAACAGTTATTTCTATCCTAAATATTATTACTGTTGACAGTTTCTTAAAAAAAATATGATAGTTGTATTTATACTATATTTGGATTCATAAACCAGTATATTAAGCATCTTAGAATTAGAAACCCATTAATGAAAAAAAGTAATGAAATTCTAATTCCAACCTGTACCTATACCATTGGGTCACATTTCAAAAGGAAATGATACATCACCACCCACCAGAGAGTCACATCACACAAAATGTATTTTTTTTTTTTTTTATTATTATTTAATTTACAAAATTTGCTTGTAGGATTTTGAACAGCTTAGGAAAAGTATAGGTTATTTATTAGAAACACAAAAAATTCTGATTTTCTGATAAATATTTGTGATTTTGATACCTTTTCTACAGGAGATGTATACTCTTCTTGACTCAACATATTTCTTATTCTCTAATAGGTATACCTAATAGAAAGGGAGAAAGCAGGTCTAGAGCTAAGGGTGGGAACGTGTGAAGCCCAAGCAGCTGCCTATTGTGCGACCATCGACCATTTAAGATCTGAATTATCCCTAGCACGTCCTGATGGCAGTAATGTAAGATGTTATATGATGTATTTTGTTTTTTATTTATTTACTTAATATTTATCGTCACTATTTTTTGTTCTGTAATATTATTGATAAGTTTTCTAGAAAACTGAATTGATCCTTGATCATGATAGTATGAATTTTTTCATAGATTCTTGTATATGAATTATACATCAATTATAGTTGTTTGCTAATTAGAATAACAATTTATTATAATTATTTTTCAATTGAATATAATTAGTTTTCTGTTTTCACTATTTTCTATAAATCTTTTTGATGCAACATGATGTGATACACTGTTTTTACAGTATGGCATACTTTTCTATTTACTTATTTGCTGTGAAAAATTTCCAGATGCTAATATATATATAATCACTATTGCCTGCAAACATCACAATGCTCATCTCTCCCTAAAGGATGTGGAAGGAGAAGGGGACAGTGGTGTCGACTCATCATCACCCGAAATCATGGAAGCATTACGCCGTGAAAGGCAGCTGAAAGTGCGTGTCCAGGACCTAGTCACGACTCTAGAGAAGGTGACCAAAAATTCAGAAGCTCGGCATATGCAGTCGCAAGAGTTCATCAACGACCTTAAGAAGGCTAATGGGTGAGAAATTTCATGAGACTTCATGAGTAGCCCTATCTTATTTGGTTGTTATTATTATTAATATGTTTTCATTATCCATAATCTTACTTTTTTTGTGTTTTTCCTTTGGCTGATAAAATGTTCATTTAAACAACTTTAATTACACATGAGCATATATATATATACTGTGAGTTTGTGCTTCATATTCACATTATCTTGCATATTGAAATCACCCAGGTATCATCTCTTTCTAGATCCCTGACAGTAAATAATGAAATTACTGGTTAAAAAGGTTAAATGGTACAATAACTCCAATACAAAAATTAGATTTTGCAATTCATTATTTTCTTTTACAGAGCTTTGCTAACGGCTGTTGATCGTCTAAAAAAGAAATACGCATTGAAGGTAAAGAGGATGGAGCAACAGATGATGGGGATGGTTGACCGCCATGCTCACCAGGTAGCCTTACCTCTGTCTTCAGTTTGATTTATTGTATCTAACTGGACACTTTTTTTTTATGTTTAATATATGTATGTATGTGTGTTTGTTTTCTGAACAATGTTGAATATACATATATATATATATATATATAGAGAGAGAGAGAGATAGATAGATAGATAGGTAGATATGTATTTATATATATATGTTTGTGTGTGTCTGTATACTCATTGATATATAATATCATATCACAGAGGAAAACTATGCCCTTAGAAAAAAAAACAAAAAAACAAAACAAACAAACCTAGAATAAAATTATTTTTCACATTGCTCTCCCAATACCTTATGGACTAAACCTACATTTCCTTCAAAGGTCCGGGTTCTGAAGCAGAGGATTGCCAACCTGGAAGATGATCCTGGGTCGCAGCAAACACAGATGATCTCGACAGCGAGTGAAACTTCCCTTTGAAATCACAATTTTTTTTAGAATTAAAAATTGAGAATTAAGATTCCTCTGAAGTGGTAAATGAGCTTCATGCTTCTGTTATATGGTGTTCTACAAAGATTTTTTTTATTGTGTGTTTGTGTGTATGTATGTGTGTGAGGCAATGAAAATTGTAAGGAAAGAGAGTTGATATTATTATTTATTTTCAGAAGTAATGTTTTTGAGAAATGTTTATTGTAAAATTTAATGAAAGGTCACAAAATTTGCAATTTAGCAAGTAATTGCACAAAAAGTATAGTATCAAAATATTAATCAGAGTTTAAATATTTATGAAATGTTTATAAAAAACTGAATCACTTTTAATAATTTAAGACAAGTGTTATATATATACAATTAGGACTTTATTTACACAATTAGGCAAGAAGAAGAGAAATATCCAATAACAGTTAGACAAAAAAAAAAAAAATAAAATGAGGTATTTCTTCATGATAGAAAGCAGTTGTTATTTTTTATCCTTTCTTTTATTCAGTCATGTTATTTATCATATTATTATTATTATTATTATTATTAATATTATTACTATTATTATTATATGATTCACCATGTTCAAATTCCCCAAAATTATGCATCGTGGTAAGATCCTCAGGTATAATATATCAGGGAGAGCAAGAAGGGGAAATGCAGGTGGATGAATAAAACTAATGAAACACAGACCTGATGAGTAATGGGAGAGAAAAGTCAGTAAGAAAAAGTGAATAGAACATGCATATGAAATAAAAAATAGAATGTAGAGGTGTATAAATATTTACATTTTTGGTGTAGAGAGACACCAAAAGATTTTTCTAAATTTCTTTCAATAAACATAGGATTGAAAAATGTGTATTTATCTTTATTGTTTTCTTCTTTTGTCTGTTAAGATTTTGCTTAGAAATAATGAAAAAAAAACACTGAATATGAAATGGAAGTTTGTGGAAAGAAATGAAAGAGGGAGAAGAAAAGAAGAAAGCTAAAGAAACAAAGATGAAGCTAGTTGGCTGTGAATCTTTTACAATGAATAGTGATGGATACTGTTGAATTTTTCTTTCAACCTAATTAGCATATGCATGGTGACTCTGCTGTATCTCTGGCTT